CTAGGAAGTAAAGGGCTTACTGAGGTCGATGATGACCGTTCGAGGATCTTGATCAGTGTGAGTAACCAGGGAATCAAGAGTGGTAAAATATGAAACTCACTTAATTCGAGGACCTCAATATTTTCACGATTCCACCTGTATTTGAATTTTGCCAGGCCTCCGTCAAAGATGAGAAGGTCCTTTCCTTTGTGATTGACAACAATACCTTTGCATTTCAAATGAGAATCAGCCTCTCACTGGGCAGAGGAGGGGGAAAAACTTTCGTGTGCCAGCAGGGGACATCTGGAATCAGGTCCCCAGTTCCATGTTTGTTTATAGATTTCAGGTTCAACTGTTTTTGCGCCGAATCTCCGAATACCGGTAGTTGTAGTTATATTTGTCTGAGCAAGCACTAGTCCAGATACCGGCATCCAAAGCGCTGCCCAGAGGGCACTAGTGAGAAACATTGCTTGCGATCACAGAGCGAGTTCCTTGCCCCCAAGTGGAATCCCTTGATTTCTCCGAGGCAGAGGGCGCAAATATACCAAAACTCGAGCATCCAAATCTGATATGAAAGCAAAAACCTCTGGTTGCCACGAAAATAGCCCACTTCCCCACTTCATAATACTCGAGTACTATTTGACCGCGGAAAAAAACAAAGCATAGGGGCGTTGCCGCACTCATGTGAGAGGAAGGGCATTTGCCGGCGGCTGCCTGAACGATAACAAACTCAGCTCTGGGTTTTGGGAACATGATATCAAAAGTGGCGTTTTAGTTGCAGCTCCTTCCCAAAGGTTTAAAGATTTTCTCTCGTAATATCTGGTTTTTGCGTTGAAAAGTTGACACGAGTGACTGCCGATGACGAGGTCTTGATAGTAATGAAAGCATCTACGGCGTTTAATGGGTGTTGCTTGGGGATTGAGAACTGGATATAGTGTCTCACACCGTACTATTTGTGCTCTGTAACATGGATGCCCTTTGGTTGCATTCCCACATGAGCATACCGGTACTTGGAGTGTGAAAGAGGAAGATACTAGAGCGATGGAAAAAGCACTGTGGTGGAACCCGTGGCTTTTTGAGGGCTTGCAGTCGAGACCCGAATTAAAGTCGCCGTGGTTTGTGCATCATATCTGGATGCCTCTGGACACCTCCGGATCGGGTACCCTCTTATTTCCCTTTTCCCGATAATCATCTGCAGGGACGAATTGCCATTCCACAATCTAATCGCTAACCAAGCAAGAAAGAAAGTGTGCTCTATCTAAGCGGTGATAAAATGGCAAAACATGAATAAGAAATGGAGAGTAGTGGAACGGGAAACCTAGACTAAAGTGCAATGCAGGGATGTGCTCGATTGGAGAAGATGGTTATTGAGTCTGAAGAGGTGACCCCAAGTTAGCGCAGTATCCGCGAAAACCAAAATCCGGCGTTTGACTACAGTGTCGCTGCAATCTATGATATGATTCCATACTTGTATTTTGCTCTGCGACCCTTGACTGATAGACTACAGTATGGCCTCACTAAGGCGCAGTAAAATACACAGATTGTCACTCGAAACATAGCAGCCGATCCCTTGTCCCTAGAGTCAACCAACTCACCCGAACACCAAGAAAAGCTAAAGACTATAATATCGTACAAGTGCTGCTATAAGGTTGTGGAAGGAGCTCGCGAGCACTGATGCACTGCACCCCGAAAGTACCACCCATCTAAAGGCAATTAATCAATTAGTTCTTATTTTATGCGCTTGCTACTGTGATAAAAACGGTCGATCCCCCATGCTACTACCGCCACAACCCAAAACTGAGGATCCAACAGGCCCGGCTGGCCCCTCGTCTATAGCTACCTTAGTTTAGGCGGTTTGGGAAAACTCGAGGCTCTAGAGATGGTGGCCGATGTTCTGCGCGCACTAGTTTCGTCTATAACCACCGACTTTAGACCCCGGAACATTCCATCTAGTTGGCGGCGTCCAATTCCGCATCCGCATCCGCATCCAAATCCGCATCCGAGTCCGCAACGGCCTCTGGCGGCGGGGGCGGGGACGGCGGGTTTCCCCTGGAGCGGAAGAGATGTATGAGGGCTGTCAAAAGTGACAAGCCAATGACAGCAGAGATCACTATAACAGCTATTTTCCATGGCGGCGGCGGGGGACGCGGGGTTCGGGCCGGGGGCCAGCTCGGGGTTGGGACCCCGGGTGTTGTAGACCTACTGTAATGGAATGCACCACGTAGGTTATCGTCCACCCAACCACTCTTTGGATCCGCATGGCCAAGGTGGAATTCTGCGTTTTTACGCACAATTTCTGGCGTTTTGTATACAGTCCCGGGAGTAAAGTGTGAGCTCCACTGACAATGGTATTATTATGTTAGTTCCCAGTTGAATCAGGAAGATACTCACAGTCATGGCATTCATGTCCAGTACTTTAATGAGTTCGGAATCACAGGGAGCATCTTTCTCGACTTGTGCAGATGGTGGGTAGCCACCAATTATCAATAATTGGCTGCCGACTGCATTGCAGGTATGAGAACGCATTCTTGCCATACTCTCAGGTATTTGGACCCGAGTCCAGCTTGAGGTGTTGTCAATAGTTAGTTTTGAAACAGTGTTTCGCTAAGGAAAGGAAACAAACATAAAGCTAGGCATAGTCAAGACCCAGGCGTCCGGAACAGCTTCCCCAAGTGGTTCCATTAGCATGCCGCCGTGGATCCAAAGTCTGTTTTATTTTTAAAAGTTAGAATGGAAATTTTGAGGATTGTGAACGTAAACCGTACTCCCAGGTTTTTGTTTCATCACTATAAACTGTTTGCCCACAGAATCTCGTTCTGGGTACAGGAACTTCCCTGTTGTAAAAGGTCGTAGATTGATTTATCCACTTTTTGTTATCGAGGTCATAGAACATAACATATTCAAATGAAAGCTGCATTTTTTTCAGTGAATGGAAGGGCTAATTCTAGTGCGATACAAAACCTACAGTAGAGCCATGTTCATCATTAATACCTGGGGCGTCCTCGATTGGAACCCCACCAGGGGCTGTCTCCGCCATGAGGGCAATCAGAAATCCCGCAGACTTTGGATTTCCAATTTTAAGATGATTGGCCGACCCATGCCAGTAGGCCATTCCTGGCTCACCAAACGACTCATTTTTCAGGATGTTGGTTTTATGGTCGTAGACGAGCATCCCAGACTGTGGAAGCGCATATCCATTGAGGGAGTCGCTTGACGAACGCGGAGTCCAGAGGCCTCTAGACTTCAAGTAAGTTGACTGCCCAAGAAGTAGGCGGGTGACAAACCCAATAAAGTAGCTCTTGTCTGTACTAGGAACAGAAACAGCCGCACCACCAAATGCGCGCTTGAAACTGCCTAAATTGGCCGGAAGTGAGGTTTCTGTCCATGTGAAGGTTTCAAGGTTGTACTTCCAGATGCTGTACCCAGGAATGTCCTTCTTCTCAAGCCAGTAGGACGAATTTTTCCAATCTTCAGCATCGTAGAAATGCCCCCCTTGCATGAGGATCCAACTTTGATTTGAACCTACCCAGAGTCCGAAACGGTTGACTACAGGAACCCCCAGCGGCTTCTTCAATTGAGATATCGGAACGAAATCCCCGGAGGTGAAGGGCTTACTGAGGTCGATGATGACCGTTCGAGGATCTTGATCAGTGTGAGTAACCAGGGAATCAAGAGTGGTGAAATATAAAACTCACTCAATTCCAGGACCTCGATATTTTCACCATTCCATTTGTATTTGAATTTTGCCAGGCCTCCGTCAAAGATGAGAAGGTCCTTTCCTTTGTGATTGACAACAATACCTTTGTATTCCAAATAAGAATCAGCCTCTCTCACTGGGCAGAGGAGGGGGGAAAAAACTTTCGTGTGCCAGTAGGCGACATCGGGAGTCAGGACCCCAATTCCATGTTTGTTTATCGATATCAGGTTGAACTGTCTTTGAGCCAAATCTCCGAATGGTCGCATTTGTCTGAGCGAGCGCCAGTGCAGATACCAGTATCCAAAGCGCTACCCGGAAGGCACGAGTGAGAAGCATTGCTTGCGATCACAGAACTGGTGTCTTGCCCCCAAGTGGAATCCCTTGATTTCCCAGTGGCAGAGGGCGCAAATATACCAAAACTCGAGCATCCAAATCTGATATGAAAGCAAAAACCTCTGGTTGCCACAAAAATAGCCCACTTCCCCGCTTTGCACTACGGTATTCGAAGGCTAAAAAACAAAAGAATACGGGCGTTGCCGCACTTATGTGAGAGGAAGAGCAGTTGCGAGCGGCTGCCTGAGCGGTAAGAAAATCAGCCCCAGGTTTTCTGGTCCTTACCGCATTAACCTGCTCACTTCACCAACATCGATTTGGTGGAATATGATATCGTACCAAAAGTGGCGTTTTAGCTGCAGCTCCTTTCCAGAGGTTTAAAGTTTTTCTCTCGTAATATCTGGTTTTTGCGTTGAAAAGTTGACACGAGTGACTGCCGATGACGAGGTCTTGATAATAATGAAAGCATCTACGGCGTTTAATGGGTATCGCTTGGGAATAGAACTGGATATCGTGTCTCTCCGGACACCTCCGGATCGGGTACCCTGTCATTTCCCTATTCCCGATAATAATCTGCAGGGACGAATTGCCGTTCCCCAATCTAATCGCTAACCAAGCAAGAAAGTCTAGGCGGTGACAAAATGGCAAAACCTGAATAAGAAATGGAGAGTAGTGGAACAGAAATCCTAGACTGAAGTGTATTGTAGGATGTACTCCATTGGTCTGAAGAGGTGATCCTGAGTTAGTGCAGTATCCGCGAAAACCCAAATCCGGCGTTCGACCACAGTGTCGTTGCAATCTATGATACCATACTTGTATTTTGCTCGAGCGTTAGTTGCCATCTGCGATCCTTGACTGATAGACTGCAGTATGGCCTCACTAAGGCGCAGTAAAATACACAGATTATCACTCGAGACGCTAGGCAAGATCTACACTAGGATTGCTTCTTATTGCTAATTCTTAATCGTGGACGCTGCTAATGAGAACGTAGAAAGCCGTAATTGTTTTGACCACATTGACATCTAGAAATACATTGATTCACAAGAGTAAAAAAGCCCATGCCATCTAACCATTATGGATTCCCAGAGTAAATCAAACCCAACCAAAATCAGCAGTTCACCTATTCAACATTAATGATGAACACCACCTTCTAAGCCTAACCCAACAAAAGGTCTATCCTAAAACGTTCTTCTGTTCGCCACCCTTCTTCTTCTTCTTCTTTTTCTCCACCCTCCCATCCTTAACCCCTTTCTTCCCACCCACGACAATCGGCTTGATCTCCGTATTGCTCCTCTTCAACAATACCGGATGACTACCAATATATTTCCCATTCATCTCCCTCGCCGCGCGAAAGTATTCATCCCCATCGCTGAATGCCACAAACCCATACCCCTTACTCTTTGTCGTGCGCTTGTCTCTAATAACTCTAGCTTTCTGTACGCTAGGGTACTTCGAGAACGCCTTGAGTAGTGAATCGTCCGTGACTTCGCCAGCGAGATTGCCGACAAATAGTCGAAAGTGCGAGGGGTCCCACTCTAGCAGCGATGAGTCGGTCCAGGTTTGGCCTCCGCCCTGGCGAACGACAGTGGGAGCATTCTTTGGTTTGTTGAGCGGCGCCGCCGGAAACTCGCTGCCTTCTACTTTTGATGCGACAGGAGCGGCGGTGGTATTGCTAGAAGCGCGGGCAGAGGGGTCGTAAATGCTTTGTTGCTGGGCTATCTGGGCCTGCAGCTCCGGGTCTAGATCTGCGTATCTTGGATCTGCACGGCGGTTGAATGATTGTTGCGGTAGCGGAAATGGGTTAACAATGTGTGGCGCTCCTGATGGTGTAGGTGCTTGATATTGTTGGGCAGGGGGTTGATAAGCGGGTGGGTATTGTTGGGAATATGGCTGATTGTATTGAGGTTGTTGAGCATATGCAGTCGCTGGTGCGGCGACTTGTCTGGGTCGGAAGCCTGAGAACGCTGGAGGGGTTGTACTCTGAGGTATTGAGGGTGGCGGGGGACGAGGAGGGAGAGAGGAGGATGTCCCCGGCGGAGGTGGATATGACATTGTTTCGACAGTTGGTGGCGGTGGAGGTGATGTGGAGAGTGGAGGTGTTTCTTGTTCCGCGAGGGAGCTTGTTATCATACCGGGGAGTTTCTAAGGCTTTGAAAACACCAATGTCTTGGCACAGGGCTGTTGGCGCCTCGCTATTGGTCACGTGGTTAAAGATCAGCGCCGGAATCTGGGGAAAGGATACTTGTATGAGTGCAATATGAGTGATCCCTTGTATCGGTATCATATCTTATTGTGCAAGTGATCGCGGGTGTGTACTGTACCGCATACCGGCAGTAGTGTCATAACGCTGGCCATGAAGGTAAAACGAGGGGGAGAAGGTTTCCCTCTGCCGACCTGAAATAGACATCACGACCCTTCGCAGACTTTAGAATGGACCACCATCACTCCACCAAAACTTACCGGTATCATATCATACCTCAATCAATTGTGATAAATTACGTTTCTATCAAGTAACTGCGAGTGATCGAGATCGCACAACCTTGGTCTGCTATGCCAGAAGTCCTAATGTGCCATAACATAACTTCTCCACCGATGCCACTGCTTGGGCTCACTTATTCTTCACATCGTACCCGAATACCTCTTTCCGCCGGGAAGAATCATCTCTCGAAGATCTCCCTAGTCGTTTATAATGCCGGGACACCCGTGTAATTGGGGCCAGGAAGCAGGCGTATGGCTGTAGGGATGTGATATCCAACTGCCCCTTCCTCCGTATTGGTGCGGTATCGCACTGGGAATCGATTAACTTAGTCTTACGCGGGTTGTTAGGTTGGGAAGGTCTACTGTAAGTGATGGTTGGTCTCCGGTTGGCTCGGCATATACTCGAGTAAGGTCTGTGGTACGGTAGCGCTCGTATCCTAAAATGTAAGGTTTCCAATACTAGTAGTGGACTTATAATTCGATGTTTCTAGTGCTGCTTCTTGACGGTACACCCGCACTTGTATCATAAGCATATAGGAGGTTCACGTAATATCACAACATTTTTGCAATAGTGACAACCCTCCACTTGGAAACTATGACAAGTTTACTTGCATATTATATCATAGGCTGCAACTCGTGCGGCGGGAAACCTCCCACACAAATGTACACTAGATGATAGTAACGGGTGCGATTCCTGGTCCCAACTACTGTACCGCTATCAACAAAAAATACCCAAGCGCTATGTACCACGGTGACATGTTGCTAGCTATTTTAAACATATCAGGTAAAGTGTAAAGTAAAGCCGCTAATTATCCCATGTACAATCATTTTTGTTTTACCGTAGGTAGGAAATATTTGGAGAAAACAAAACGTTTCGCCCATCCGTCCAAACTCCTCTAACCCAGCAGACAAAACCAGAAAAGTATGTATCTAACAAAGGAGAATAACAAGCTTAAACCCGGTTAGTTTGGGTTTGGTAAGAATAGAGGTGGAGAAAGGAGCGGTTCGGGGGGAGTAAAAGAGAGAAAAAATGGCCAAAAAACAGTGGAAAATAATAATAATCATGGGGCATACATAGCTATTGCTTACAGCAGTTGTCAATAGCGTTTCATTCAATGACGATTGGCTCGTCCTGTCTTCCTTTCCTGCAGAATCCCTGTTTGCTCTTTCGAGGATGCGATGGCCCACTGGAATTGCTGCCATGAGAGGTCTTCTTGTTGGGGACTGGGCCACTTCCAGAGCTCCGGTTGGTAACTTGCTGAACTGGGCTAAGTGTTCGCGTGACGAAAGGTGTGGCCTCACCCCATTGTTTCTCTTCCGTTAGAATGTCCTCAAGCGGTCCAATTCGATCCATGTAGACCTTCCTCATCAACCAACGTTGTTCTTCGATTTTCCCGTAGCTACCTCCGAGGATAACACCCAGTAAACTTCTGTTTTGCCTATTGACGAATTGTAGTCTCTCAAATTTCTTCATCTGGCCAACGAGATCGTCGAGGGCTTCTGCCCAAAGGGTTAGTATAATCTTAATTTGGTAACTGCTGCGCGAGATATCGTTCTCACTGTTGTTCGGGTCCTGAATGCATAGAAGATCGGTCTGCGGCGGTGTTGCTCCTCTTTGGATCACGGGAAATACGTCGTTCTTGCGGAAGTAAGAGGGTTTTCTGGAGTCCACACATATGCCTAGAGTCTCGGTGTTGAAGCTTTTACCATACAACTCTAAAAATTCAAGTAGCATGACACCCAGGTGTCTGCGAGGGTCCATCCTCCCACTGGCCGCACCAGGGTGCATTTGGAACATGCTTACAATAAGGCAGGTGACCGAAAAACTTCCCAATCCTCCAAGATATACTTCGTTGAGGCCACGCATCGCAAGAAACTGCTTGATGACCGTAAGCAAGATTGGCATCGCCGGGTACTGAGCTTTCCATCTAATAAATGTCTCGTTGGCCACCAAGCCTGAAGAGTTCTCAAATGAGATATCGACGTGGATATTCGTTTCGCGATCCACAAACTTGATGATTGGCACCTTTGCGTTTGCAATCACGGCCAAACTTCCCGGTTTTGCGGTGTTAGAACTAAGGATTGCTTGCCTAAGCTTGTAGAGCGCATTCCTTTCTGAATAACGAGGTATCCCGATCTTCGCAAAGGAAGTAGATATCACAACTAGGTCGATATCGCTAGTTGGCAGGTAGAGCTCCGCTGCAAACGACCCGAAGACCCGAAGATCGGTATCGGGCCAAAGTTTAGTTACTACGACTCGCACCCGATGAACCAACTCTCTCCTAACGGCATGTTCGTAGGCACGGGGTTGGATGTAAGCAATGAAGTCCAGGATCTCGTTATGAAGCCTATAAATAGCACAAAAGGAGTTAGATTCATTTTCATTTTCTATCGGGCTCGGTCAATGAAAGATATAATTTCATGTGTAAATTCGGTGATACTCACCAAGTAGTATAATCAGAGACCTAGAGTGATCCCTCCCCATCTTGGTCCAAGGAAACGGATCAGACCTAGGAGTGGCCATATACTCGTAAGTGATATTGCCGTCGGTGGTGGTTTTACCGCGATTCATGTCAGAATAGCTTCTCTTTCTGTTTTTGGGTATGTCTAATTGACGGTCATATCCCTTATTCTGCATCGCGGGGTTTCTCGATGTGTTGGAAGATGTGTATTTAGAGTGAGCAGCGCCAGGAAGACTAGAAGGGCCTCCATTGTTGGATTGTCGGACTGAGCGGTTACGGGGTTGGGGGTCTAGATCCCGTAGCTGGGGCGGGGGTGAGGGTTTGCGATAGGTTAAAGGGCGGGGCGGTAAACCTGGTGGTCCTGTGTCTTTAGGTGGGCCAAAATGGTTATATCTGTGGGAGAAGCTTGGTTCGTCGCAGTTATCCTTGCCATTCACCTTCCTTCTCTTATGGTTGGAGTCCTCATCACCTTGACCCAAATGGCTAGGCTCGTCACCAAAAGAAAGTGAGATAAAATCATCATTATCTTGAATAGGATTTTTAGGCTTTCCCATAGTGGCTCTGGCTTTAAAAGAACGGACCAGAGAAATTACATCTGGCTTCTTTTCTCCATCCACTGCTCCTTCCGTAGCTGAACCGACCTTTGTAACCGCCAAACTTGGGTTTTCATCGTCTGACATGTCCATCTCAACTTCATCATCTGCGCCAGCTGCATCGCGTATGCTTTCACCAATGCCATCGCCTGATCCGTCAGGGGCGGATAAGAACTCGCCCCCTGTAATCATTCCTGGCAGCAAATCAGGGGTCTTTTCGCGGACATTGAATGATAGGATTGGCCTCTCATGAGCGGGGACGGGAGTCCATTTTTGCGGTTTCGGTTGTTGGCTTGTTTTTTGGCGCTTCCCAGTTTTGGATCCTTTGGATCCTTTCAGATGTCGAGTAGGGCCCTGGTTGCTATCCTGTGAGCGATTGCTCGGTCTATAGCTGTCTGTCTCGGTTGGCATCTGACGCTGATGTTGATATGTGAATTCATGGTTGGGATTATTCGGATCGCTGCGTCCGGTAAAACGGTGGATATCGTTGACCCTACGGTCACGACCTCGGTCGCCCATGCTAGAGTTTTGTTGAAATGAAAAGGCTAGTATAATTCTGTACCTGTGTTAGGGAGGAAAAATTGCGCCTGGCAAGCTGCCACCAGAGCGAAACTAGCGCTGAAGGGCAGTTTTAAGGTTGAAGCGGAGGAGCACAGGACAGAGTTCATTCACCCAAGAGGGGCAAACAGAAGGATAGGATGCGGATCTCTAGGATTAGAAGGCCCTCGGATTGAATCTGAAAACGATGAGAGAAAGGGTGACGGAGAGGGTTTTTTTTGTTTTTTTCCTTCTGTTTCTTTTCTTCCTGGTGTTAGGCGAAGTGATGCTGGGATGAGGGTTTGGCGGCAACGTTTGGAATGGTATGGGACGCGAGAGCCTCTTCGGATGCAATCTGGGTTCTTGGCACATATTGTTCCTGCGCCAAGATATTTCTTATCTGATTTGCACAGGATCAATGGTAACACTGATTTTAGGAAAAGGCTTGGCATAGCAAGTATCACTCGGGAAATGAGATTACTTGCAGGATTTGCCTTTGTGGAGGCCGCGACCGCGGGTTGTCATTTAGGCCACAAAACCCCTCCCTCACACGGAGCCAAATAATATACCATAACATACCTTTACCCATGTTGGTGGTGTCCTGGAGGTCACAAACAGTGAGGTATGATAATATTATCATAATAATATTATTATGATACTACTACAGTATTTGAAACCTGGAATTTTCGGAGGACCGTGGGAAAAAAAACCTAGGGATCCAGCCTCGAGAAGGGTAAAATGGACATCTCTGTTGATATCAAATATAATTACTGCTACCGTATTCTCAATCCCCTCTCGCTATGTGTTGGGAATCCAGAGGGATTTCCGGCTTTCCACTTTCTTGGTGCACGTTGACTGATCCACTTCCCACTTCCCCACCTGACCCGCTTTCCGGCCCAATACGTTACTTTACTCGCAGCCATGGTCCAAGCCTTAGGGTTGCCGCTCAACTTCTCACTGCGAGTACTCGTATGTGCACAGGATATATTCGTAATCTACGCAAGAAAATACACAGCCACGAACCTGCTATTGGTGATGCTTGGAGGACCATCACAACCCCTATCTTCTCTGCCCTCTCGTCTTTAGTTGAGGTCTGATGTTCCAAGCGTGGGGAGAAATTATCCTCTATATATATTTTTCTGTCAAAGCTAATCTTGGATTCAAGCTTCGATAGCGCTTGGATAATGTCTGTAGAAGGCAAGGAATCGATACCACCCTTTCTGGGCGAAGAAACATCTATCCTTCCCCAGAAGCATGCTTCCCAGCCCGCGTCTCCACGGGGCAAGTCCACCAGTGGGGCTGCAAAGGACGTTCTGGCAAGTGCGACATGTGAACCTCATTTACAGAACAATGGTTTCCAAAAGGTAGCTTCAACATCAGAGCAACATCATGGGATAAACCAGCCGTTCCGGGCCGATCCACAAAGGCCAGGGGAGCTCCGTGCCCATGCGGAGGGTCCCGTGGAAATTTTAGCGGACGGTTTATCGACTCCAAAATCATTGCTTTCCGTACGGTCTATGCCAGTGGTTTCGGTTGAACAAGACTGCCTGGACATATACAGCTTGGGAGAATATATCCCTAGTCCCTATACATCCTACACGGCCCCACAGAAGACAGGGCAGTTGTCTCTGCCTCGATCGCCCCTAACAACCGTTGCTGATTCGGACCCAAAACTATTAAGCAGACAATCCGTTTTGGGAACACCCATCCGATCACAGAATGAAAATAGCCTGGCTGCTCCAGAGAGTGGTACGAGCAGCCTTCCCATTCCATTGAGGAGAGATTACTGTGCATCTTCCGATGATGAGGGCGCATCTACGAGTGTTGGATCAGATGAGGTGCCAATCCTCGATTTTGCGGGAATGAGTGAAGCAGAGGAGGACGGGAGGTCTGTGGAGGTGACCAAGCCCCCAAATGTGGATCCTGGGTCAATCACAGATGAGGGGGAGATTGGGTTCGATGAGACTCTCTTGACTTCCTGTGGCCATCTGCCGAGTCTAAAACCTTTGGACCTCAGACTTTCTCCTAATACCGATATGGAGAAGGACGCCACGAATGGTCAAGAGCTGTCATTTCATCGAGCCGTTGGATCTCCTGGGGGGGCTGTAAAAGAGGCTTTTGTCGAGCAAGTAGAGCCGACATTTTATATCAAAAATTTGAAAAACGATTCACTAAGGAGATTACCTCAGATAACTACGCTGGAACGGAGTTCCTCAGAACACAAATTGCCAGAGCCGGTAGCGATACAAGAATCCTCTCCAGACATCTGGGGACCTCGGAGATCCGAAACCTTCAGTTATAACCCTTCGGAAACTATTCGCGTGGGAGTGAGAAATGTCGTGATTCTCCCCGGAGAGTCTGACCGCCGCTATCATAGTAATTGCTACCGCCGATCTCATGGCGAGATGGATATCAGTTTTGCCGCAAGCATAAAACTTCAAGGTGAAGGGAGTATTTTTCCTCCTCAAGCATGCCAGCGAGGAGTCATTGTGCCCGAAGGACCAAGCCGCCCTCCCACTTCACCTGCAACTCCGACTGCCGTTGCTTCACCTGAGGTAGCATGGGTTAGGGCGGCTAGTGAAGAATTTCCCTTACCTGACTTTTCTCTTTTGAGAAAAGAAAGGGGCAGTGTTGTATTAGAAAGGAAACCCTTTCCACCTGGACGGGGCGGAAGTAACTCTCAAGGGATACATCCAGCGCCGGCGATTAAAACCACGGTTTTGTGCTACACAAATGTCCTCCCGGAGCAACCCAGGGCCTCAACACCAGTCCTCCCAGCTGGTGATGACGATACTAGTCAGCCGGATAGCCCATCTGATAGTCTTGAGTTCTCGTCAGTAAGATATTCGCGTGTTTCTGTGGCATCTCCTATGTTGCATGCGAGAGGTTACGCCGGCGGATCTGAGTGTTCTAAGAGTTTGAGAAGTGTTAAGGCTTTACTATTGAACGAGGGCATTCAATTGAAGGAAGATGATACAAGCTCCGCGAATAACGCGCCTTGGGATAGGCTCTCACGTGAGCCTAGGTCATTGAGGACTGTTCGATCCTAGGTCCTAGGCGAGGTCCCTCTTAGCACTATGTGGGCGGTAGTAGTTTGGTGGGCTTTGTCCTTTACGGGAAGGCTGCAAAGGATTTTTTCATGAAGATGGAGTGCTCTTCGGCGTTCAGGCTATCCGATTAGAGGCAACGACTATGCTTACTTAATTAGCAGACACTTTGGGAGTGATGAGAAGAGGAATTACAGACAGTGATTGTCATTAAATTGAGCAATTAAGAGTTTTTGTGAAATGATCAAAATTACAGGTTATTGAGCGACCCTCCCTCAAGTTAAGTAGAGAGCATAGAACTCTCATCCGGAATCGAATAGCCCGGCCAATCTCCCGTCCGCTTGGGCGATGCTTTCCTCCAGTTCGACCATCTCCACTTCCCTCTTCTCCGCCGCCATCACACTCCTTAAAATACTAACAATCTTCCTCAATCTATCAACCACCTCAGCCCCCCCCTTCCTCTCACCTCCCCAACAAACCGTCCTATAACAGCTCGTTATAGCTTTCAACACCTCAGGAACATATCTACAAAGTCTGACCCAGCAGACTCCCACCATAGTTTCCACGGCATCTAGCGTAGCGGCCAGCAAACCCTGTGCAACCCCAACAAACGGATCACCCAAAACCGTGCCAAAAATCCGAACCAGGTCGCCCAAATGTCTCACTGCGTAAACCTTCATGTCCATCACTAGCGCGGATATTTGACGCATAAGCTCCCCCGCGATCCGTGCATTCTCACCGGCAAAGGTGAAGCCTCGGACAATGCCAATGTAAAATATCGCATCCAGCTGTTCCACTCGGGGGCGGTTATCCGTGGCGGACGTCTGAGCGAGAGTTCTCAAGACTCCGTACGTCGCCCGCAGCAGCGGTACCGAATATCTCGTCGGAGTCAAAGGTGGCAGAAGGAGTAAGTCTGGTACGAGTGCATCACGCAGAACCGGCACGAGCCCAGTCCTGGTCAGTAGCCCGTCGGGTAGTTTCGGTAGCAGAGCGGAAAGTAGATTACTCGCAGAAGTTTTGTGCTCAGGGTTCGTGCCATCGTGGATGCTTAATAGCGGGGGTATGAGCAATGGCCATGCGCTCTCCAGCGTATCGGTGGATAAATGCGCCGTTATGTAGGATAGTAGGGTTACGGCTTGCGGTAGCTCCCTGGGCCAGATAGGTGTCTGCAATGCCGCGCCTTTGTTCGTGGATTCACGCTGTGGAGCGCGGCCGGCGGGAGTGAGCGGAGATTTAAATAAGGGCTTTATAGTGGTTGTTAGGATTGCCACGAGAGTTTGTGCGGAGCTTAGTTCTCGATTGGAGGATCGGAGTGTCGCAGAGAGATGGTGGGATGTGGGGCTAGTCCACGGATCTGCAAGATCGGCGTACGTTATGGCTGCGATAGCGATGTTTGACCGTGCTACCGATGGGGGTGGTGTGTGAGAGAGTGAGGAGTGGAGGAGCATTAGAGCCTTTTCAGAGACCTTGTGGAAAGGATACCAGGCGGTTTGGTCGCGCGCTGGCCCATCCTTGTTGTCATCTTCCTCTCGGAAATACTGTTCAGCGGGGAGGAGGCCGTGTGGCGGGTGGAGGATGGTGATCAGGTATGTCTGGAGTTCCTCGGAGGCAAGAAGGTCTGGAGTTGTGCCCAGTAGTAGGGAGAGCTTAGCAAGATTTACTTGGATCTGGGAGGTGTGATTTTGATTTCTGTTGGTCAGTTATATCGCGAGAGATGGTTGGGCGAGTAGTGGGCAAGGGGGTCCTTTACTTGCTGGTATTTGCTATCTGTGTTTCCAAAGGTGGGTACTTCGCAAAGAGGTCTAAGCTCGTCCATTATTCAGATTTACGGTATTCTGAATAAGTGGGGTGGGATGAGGCAAAAACGATGGTGGGGAGTTGCTGGTTGTTCTGGAAGGTTGAACCATAATGAGGCTCTGCTGTATCCGTCTCCCGTGTTCAGGGTAACCGTTTTAACGGCCGCAATATACAGGTAGGTTTCGGTATCGAAATCTTGAAGTCAAAAAGAAGCTCAGAGACACCTTACTCCCAATCTTTCGATTCGACTCAACATCAGTTTAATACTACGACCATGGCATCAATAGCGAAAGGCTCAGCTTCCTACAAAAAAAAGGATGGATCTCTCGTCCTGGAGAAGGACTCTGTCACTTGGACTCCTGCAAATGCTGAGACCCCGTCTTTAAAAATTCCCGTGTCAACAATTACAAGTATGAGTCTAAATTACCCCCCCCCCCACGCGCGAGCCGCCTGCTCACAGAAGAAAGATCTCCAGGCAACCCCTGCGACAGTGGCAAAAGTCATGATCAAGGTCTTCGCAACCAAAGAAGGCGGTGCAGCAGAGCCTTACGTCTTCACATTCACCTCCGCCTCTTCCGCTCGCATGGAAGCCGATGTCATGAAGGAAGCATTAACCACCTCAATCCAGACCTTCAAGAACAATTCCGGTACCGCAACTCCCTCCTCCGCTTCTGTTGGCCATACCACTACTGCCGCTTCCTCAACTGCAGCCTCTGGAGCCACCTCTGCAAAATTAGCCAGCAAACTCACAGACTGGAGCAAAACCAGACTGGAAACGGATCTCGAACTCCAAAAATCCCTCCTAAAAGCCGACCAAGAGCTCTCGACAACCTTTTCAGAGGCCGTCCTCTCTGGGGCCGTAACCGCAGACCAGTTCTGGTCCACACGCACACATCTTCTCCGTGCGCATGCAATCGAACGGGAGCAGAAGCGCGGTCCGTACAACGTGCTCGCCACGATAAAGTCTAAGACTGTTGACAATGTTGTTAAGATGTCTTTGTCGCGCGAGGCCATTCATGACATTTTTGATCAGCACCCGTTGGTTAAGATGGTTTATGATGATAATGTGCCGAAGTTGCCAGAGGAGGAGTTCTGGAGTAGGTTCTTTCTGAGTAGGCTTTTTAAGAAATTGAAGGGGGATAAGTTGCTGCCGACGGATAACACGGACCCAATACTTGATCGTTATTTGGGGAGAGGTGATGAAGGTAGGCTATTTTATGGGCACCCGAGTGAGGGGGGGGAGCTAATCATGGGGAGTAGAAAACTCGAGGAAGCGTAGGAAGTTGGAACATGTTCCTAGAACTATGGATATTGAGGGTAATGAGCAGAACTTGAGTCAGAAGAAGGGGAATGCTCCTGATTTGACTATGAGACCTACACGTACTGAGAACGTTCCGATTATCAAAACCCTAAATAGTCTTAGCTTGAAGTTGGTGGACTTGGTCACGCCGTGAGTGTTCTACCGATTTCTCCATCGGCATTTGCTAACAAGCTCCGCCTAGCACCGACACCGACCCCAGCCAAGTCGAAGACCAAGACGAACGCTACATCATTGAGCAACGCCTGATAGACCTCCACAGTGACCCCGAGGAAGCGCGCATCATCCTCAACATTCGCGACCAACGCCAGTTCTTCTCAGCAAGCAGTAATGCCGATAAAGCGCGCAAAGAACTCTACTCAAACCTAAAACCCGAGACTGTACTCCAAGAGATCCAAAAGACCCTCGGAGAAAGCAACCTAAACCTCCTTACCGCTCTCGCTAGCGGTGGCACTAGTAAAGGGAGTAAAGCCCAACTCTCCAAAGCTACCACTCAAATCGTGGCGGCAGTTAAGGACCGCAGGGAACAGATGTTGAATTCCAGCGGGTTTAAGAACAAATCTGGGGGCTTACCCGCGAACGTATTCAATAGCGTAACGCTTGTACATGCTACAACGAATGAATTCCTCCGCCATTTCTGGCTGGCCTTCTTATCCGGGGACGAGAAGCGCGCTGGGGACATCGTAAAGTTGGTTAACAGTTTGAAGAATTCGAAGGAGAGGATTGCGTCCATTGCCAAGACCGCTGACGAAGAGCGAGAGCTGGAGAAGGTGAGGAAGAAGAAGGAGGCGCAGGAGGAGTATAAAAGGACTGGGGTGAAGCCGAAGCGGAAGACTACCGAGGTCGGCGGTGGGAGTAAAGTTGTTGAGGAGCTGCTGGCACCAACGATTGTTGCGGTAGATAAGGCGTTAGGGAAGTATCAGGCTGCGCTAGGTAAGGCGGACAAGGGGTCGAGGACTGCTGCTGGGTAGAATAGGGGGCTTTTGGGGAGTTAGGTTTACTTGGAGTTTGGGTTTTCTCTTTGGTGCCGGGCAGAATTGGTGATTGCTTAGATTGCCCGTTTTCTTCTTTCCTTTCCCCAGATTCAGTGTGGTTGGCTATTTGCGATTACTAGATTGATTGGTTGGTTGGGTGTAATATACAATGGTTCCAAGAATAGCCCGTTCCATCTATCTGTTCCGAACCAATGATCCAGAGAACCAAGTGAAGTTATCCAGCCATAAAAAAATCTACTTCACCTTTTTGACCTTAATATTTATCGTCTCCTCATTAATGAAGATGCCCTATACACCCTCAGTCAGCCATCGCTAGTTTCCCCTCCCCCCTCCAGCGGCCCAAGAGAGCACACACCTTCCCCTTATAGGGCTCAGGAATCCTCCACTCCCTAATCCTCGAGGCGAACTGGTTAACCTTAGTCTTATCTACCCCCTCTAGTAGAATCCTAGTAGGTGTAGGCACACTACACTCGACACCCTCGGGAACGGGCATCTTGATAGTGTGACTATACCCCAATCGCATCTGCAGCAGTTTTCCCTCGTTCTCGATCATGGCCCTGTACCCAACCCCCACCAGGCGCAATATGGCGGAGTGACCCTCCGTCACGCCGAGCACTAGTTTCTGCAAGTTTGACCGCGAAGTGCCCCACATTTCACGCTGCTGGCGGTTTTTCGCGTCCTCCACCGTGATGGTTGCGCGCCGGGATGTGGACGATGGGATGGGCGTTTGCGTGACCTTTATGAAGGGCGGGAGATGGAGGTATAGTTTACCTCGGGGGCCTTTTACCTGGCTGGATGTTTTAAGTTAGATGGACAGACAGTTGGGTGCGCGATTGGTCTAGGGGGGGGAGGGGGGGTTGTACAGCCTGCTTATTGGTGTTTCACGAGGATTCTTGCTTTTCGGTAGTATTATCTTGTTGAGTCTTACCGTGTCCGGGATTATAACGGGAGATTTCCCAATCTTGCTGAATGCTGTGGATGTGCTGGAAAATTTGCAGATGTATCCCTTTGGCACATGTCGGAGACATCGGTTCAAGATGAGGCGCATTGTTGGGCGAGTGGTTAATTGAGAGGTCCTTCTACCATCATTTTGTGTGTAGATCTTGTGGTTAGTTAGTGGGTGGAAATGTTAAAGCCGGGTAATTGGAGGCTTGATAAGGGTTCCCGACCCACTTGCTTGATTGGGTAGGTTTGGCTGAGAAAAAAGAAGAGTTCTAGGCCGGAGACATGACAACTCAAAAATGGTTCTGCGTTAGCTACCGGTAGAGGGATTTATGATCTTACCATTACCCACTTCTCAACACTCATCCACCCATCCTTTCGCATTCCCCCATCTATCTATCTACGATACTTCTATCATACCTCTATAATACTATCGACAATTTCCCCATAAAAAAGGCCTGAAACCAACTTAAGCGGGACATCGCACACACAAACTGCACAATGTCTCCACCGCCAGATCTCCTCGAAACCCTAACGACACTCACTGCCTCCCTCACCACGACTAGTACATCCATCCAATCCGCCGAATTCCCGACACTCACATCCCCAGAGAACGGCATATCCCTCCTGGGCCTGAAAAACGAGCTCCTCCTCTCATATGTCCACAACATCGTCTTCCTCGTACTAGTCCGGCTCCGCTCGGGCACATTGAGCAATGGCATTGGTGCAGACGCAGTCAAGGAACTGGTCAAGATCCGCGTTCTGTTAGAGCGGGGTGTGAAACCGCTGGAAGGGAAATTGAAGTACCAGATTGATAAGGTCATCGCTGCAGCGTCATCGTCGATGCCGGCCGGTACCGCTCCTGCAACGACGAAGGAGGAGATAGAAGTAAGAAATGGCAAGGGCAGTGGTGAAGATAGTTCAGATGAAGACGAAGATGTGACAGCAAACAACTGCGACTACTACCCCCTTCAGGAAAAACCCCGTTCAGACGTAGCAGCAGCTTCAGCACCAGTATCAGCACTCACCAGGAAGGAACTCGCTTTCCGTCCTAATCCCGCCGCTCTTGTAAAACCCTCTGCTCCGGCGCTATCCTCATCTACTACGAACCTCTCCGATGGCATATACCGCCCACCTCGCATCTCCGCGACCGCAATGCCGGAACCCAACAGGTCCGCGGAGAAAGGTAAGCCTCCCCGCCGCAAATCCCATATGCTCGATGAATTCGTTATGGAGGAGTTGTCCACCGCGCCAACAGTGGAGTCATCCGTCGGGTCCACCATTATCGACTCCGGCCGCGTAGTCAAGACCGCACGCGATAGGCGCGAGGAGCGAGAGAGGCAGGAGTACGAGGAGAATAACTTTGTCAGGCTGCCGAAGATGGGTAAGAAGGAGGCGAGGGAACTGAAGCGCCGCGGTGGGAGAGAGGTGAACGGCATGGGCGGTGAGGATTGGTCGGGTTTCACGGGGGATATAGAGAGGTTGACGAAGGAGGTTGATAGAGCGGGTAAGAGCGCAAGGTTGTTGGAGAAGAGTCGGAAAAGGAAGGGTGATGGGGATAATGAGGAGGGGGGCAGCTCGAGGGTTGTGGGGGACAGTTTTGAGAGGAAGAAGGAGAGGCTTTCTAAGAGGAGGAAGACTTAGATGAGTGAGTCTATGGATAGATACATAGACATAGATAGATATTTTAAAAGTTTTCATCCCTTTTGAGTCGCTACTTTGCGCTTGACCTGTATCATCATTAATCCACTCCATTTCCACAAACTAGCAAACTTACCCCTCACACCACTGCAACTAACATTATAATACTACCTCTTAAGCTCCTTGATCAGCCCCTCCACCATACCAACAATCTTCCCCATCTCCGCCTCGAGGCCAATATCCTCCAACCTCGCTGCCACCCACCCCCTCGGCTGCTCCTCCTTCTCCAAATCCCTCCTCATCTCCTCCCTCTTCCTAGCAACCACACCAGCAAATACTCCACCACCGCCATGGCTCCTCTCCACCTGCGCAGCGCACTCACACAGCAATCCCCAAACAACCTTCCCGTAATCCACCCTCGGAATCTGCAAGAACAAGTTCGCAAGCGTGAACCCGTGCACCACCCGCATAGGGTGAAACCTCTGCGGGTAGAAGACCGGGTCGAGGCGTAGGTAGATTAGTAAATGATGCAGTAGGGCCCGTTCCCAATTTCCAGACGGGATATATTCGCCCTGCACAAGCGCTAGGTGTAGTGCGGCTAAAGGCTGCCGGGGTAGCGGCCACATAGGAGACTTGTGTAGGTGCCTCAAGGCGGAGATCATTGCTTCACTCTTATCCGAGTCGAGCGCGGACCAGGCTGTCTGCTCGAGTATTTCCACGTCCGCAGTCGCCGGGAGTGCTCGTGCGCACCTGTTGCAAAGCACCGCTTCGCGCGAGGGCATTCCGACCCCGCCGCAGGCGCACAGGAGCCCGTCCATGGGTCCGGCAGGGCCGGTGCAGCGCGAGCAGGTGCAGGTGAAGAAGTACTTCTCTGACAGTTCCAGCTGGCGGCGTTCGCGGGGAACTGTATTGTCAATGTATGATATCAGGACTTCAGCGTTCGCAGGGATGTCTTCTAGAGCACGGATTTGGAGGATTCGGCCGTTGAAGAGCATAACGGCATTGGGTATGCAATCGTGGTTTATGCTCGCGGTTAGCGGGTCGAATGCGATACCAATGGGATCGAAGGTCTCTGTGACAAGGGTCATGGAGTTTACCAGTACCTGTACCACAGCCTCCGCCGTCAATACCATCCCCCAACCCTGCGAGAAAGAAACGAGAAGGAATCTACAAACAGCACAATACAACCTCCTAACCTCCCCCTCCCCCCTCCTCGTTCTCGAATACCCATGTGCCCCCTTCCCCATCACAAACACCCCTTCCCATCTCTTCCCTCCGGCCTCCGTACGGAACTTTTCAACATGATCCTCACACTGTGCAAGCACCCCCCCTTCGGCATTCTGCATGAGCACCCTCATCGTGACGCGCACAGAACCCGGCAATGCCCTCGGTAGCTTAGCAAAGGTTTTACATTCGTGCTTGTGCACGCGCTTCCAGTCTTCTGTTTGACATTCCTACTTTTCCTCCATCCCAATTAACTCCTCTTGTTCCTTTTTGCTGATAGGAAGGGGGGTGGGGGTATAACCCACCTACCTTTCCACAGTACTTGACAATTTTACACCCTAGGCACGCAGAAAGCTTCCGCGGGGAGCTATAAGTTGTTAGGACTGAGGGTGTGTCCGGAGCGTGGTGGAGGCAGTTGCTACAGGTGCTCTGCAGGTGTGCATCGTCAGGGATCGTCACAAGCGGTTTGGGGATCGACAGGATTTGCGTGCCGGCTGGGATCGCAGTTGTTGTGAAGAGGCCGTGGCCGCCTCTTGAGGAGTGCCTGCGGGTTGCTTTCGGCATTTTTGTTGTGGGGATTGCGATTGAGTTTGGTAGAGGAAGTCGGCATGTGGGGTGACGAGATGTCAGTGGGTTCGTTCAGTGGCCAATCTTTGGTCTTGGCATTATGGCATACGAGTGATCAATCGTGACTCTTGCATGATACGTTCAATGATAAGCTTCACATCGAGCAGGGTATGTTATCGACAAGCTATAAACTATAGAGTACATGGCAATGTCCACCTGAAAGAGAGTATTGATTGTCTAAAAGGAAAACATACGGGGCAATGCTGTGGAATGAAACAAGACGAGGTAAAAAATGAAAGAAAAGTTCCCAGCCCCTCCCACACAGGTGTTCACTCTCCCTCCACCCCCTGTCGATGCCTTTTACATGAGTTTCCCCAACATCCCTTGCTTTATGCGACAAAGTGTGCAACGGAGCAAAGCGATCTACATTCCCTCAAACTCACCACCCGCATCATCATCGTCAATATCTCCATCTTGAATCTCCTTGGCCAACTCCCTCTCTCGCTCCCTGGCCTCCTGAGCGTTCTTAAGTTCAAGCCGGTGTTGATTCATGGGGAACCTCATAGCCTATCAAAAAACAAAAAATCAGCCAAATGCCCCCAGCAGAAATCGCCGAAAAAATCTCACCTTAACGCTATCGTTATGTAAGCTCATACAGAACATGATCCTCTCGTGGAAGGCCTCCTGAGGCTCCTGAGTTGCATAAACGTCCAATAACTCCTTGCTCTGCATATAACCCTTCTCATGGTTCAAAGTGGCCTCGATAACGCCATCTCGAATGGCCTTAGCAACGATATACTCAGCACTCTCCTCACTGTCTAATCTAAGTCTGACGCAAATATCCCTCAGTGAGATCTTTGAATAACTCAAACTCATCATACGGATACCAGTCTTGATGACGTTCTGACGCAGACGGAGAATAAGGGAATATGTGCCATCTTTCTTGAACGTCTCAGCGTGCGTGTTGAGCGTGTCAAAGAAAGAATCGAGTTCTCCGATCCGAACAGCTTGCACGAGCAAAAAGTACGCGTGCAGAGACTTTTCAAGTCTAGGTTCACGGAAGATGGACCGTTCCGGAATATCCCCCATGAGAAGCTCAACGATAATATTGAGCTTGTTGGCAGCCTGGACGAATCCGGCGGCAGCGGCAGTCTGGGGAGCTTTGCGGATAGCTCCCACGAGCTCGTTGTGCGCGGCGGTGTAGTCAAGCTGAATAGCACGAATACGGCCAAGATAGTATTGGTAGCGCGCAATGAGGTTATTGGCCGCAGACTCAGGAAACAGAGTCTTTGAAACGAGATGATCGGCCTGAGTGATATGTGACGTTTGGAGGTAATTACGCAGGAGAAGCGTAATCAGGGTGGCTTGTGTGTCAATATCTTTTCGTAAGGTAGCAGTTCGTAAAGAGGCAAGAAGTTGCGGACGAATTTCGGTGATGGCAGGAGGAGGAAGAAGCTCGTGTACACGAGAATAATAGAAGTACACCTTGGCAGCCAAGGAGTCAAGCGTTCGACGATTGAGCGAATGTATTATCTGAACCAGCTCGGTGGAGAAACTTGCGCCCGTTTCCAGATTCTTCTGGTCCAAGAGATAAATCTGCACAAGTAAGTGAAGGTAGATATCAATTTCCGGCAATAGAACCCCGCCATCCTTTGATCCTTCAGAAGGACTATCAAGGTCCATTCCAGACGCGCTAGACCCGATAGCCGCGGTAAGCCTACGAGACGAGGGATGATCTCCAGGATATGTCTCGGCAACAACTTTGCTGAGAATCTCGGGGTTCAGACGTCGGCGTAGAGATGACAGGGAACGCAAGACACGAAGGGTAAATCGGGCATCAAACAGGGAGACAGCTCTCTCGAGCAGAGTAAAGTTTTCCTTAATTTCTAAAGCACCGCATCAGATCCATCGCTCGCACCCCAAGGAGAAAGAGATAAGATTCTTACCATTTATTGCAACGACAACGGGGTCTTCCTCTTTTCTATCTCCCTCCTTCCCATCGCTCATATCCACGTCTTCATCTCCAGGCTTCTCCGACTTCTCAGTCCTCTTCCCAGCAGTGGGAGTGGTGACTTCAGCGTCATCCTTCATCTCAATATCTTCGGCGCCATTCTCGACTGGCGGAATCTCCTCCTTTGGTGATGATGACGACCCTGCCTTCTTGCTGGCTGCTGCCTTCTTAGTTGATGACTTTGCGAGTTTCGAGGAATCACCACTCTTCTTGTTTCCCGACGACCCAGAGTCTGAGCGTTTGTTTGACCTGAGAGACCTTTTATCCACCATGATGAAACTGGTGAGGTAATTAAAGCTTGTAAACAAAAGATAAATGGAAGCTCGGGGGATAGAATCTGATGAAGATGGTGGGAGATGAGTGGATGGGATAAGGAGGTCGAGAAGGGTGTTCACAGGTTAAGGTTTGGGGTTGTTGGTGGGAGGTTTCGTCGCCGCCGTGTTGAGTGAGCTCTCTAGGGTGGCTCTGTCAGCGGGATGTGGTTTACGTAGTCAGCAGTGTAACTTAGCACCAGCAACCATGGTCATTGAAGTGGAGTTGTTAGAATTATTATAGTAGAACTGACCAAGATATATTCAAGAAATTGAGCATAAATTAATCTTCATAATCTCATCGTGAGACGATATCTTGCGATAGTATTGGCGGTAGACAGAGGGTGACAATGTCTACCCGCAAACCAAATCACTTCAACCCTTCAAACCTTACTGCACGAGCATTGTTGCAGCACCGCGACAAAACAAACTCTACTCGAGACCGTAGCATATTACAAGTACCAGGCAACACAACGAAACCCCCCAAAAAGTCCTATCGATAACGACGAACCTCACCCCTCATACCCACACAATCGCCATTACCAACTCCCCATAAGCAATCAGACAACGATTCCTACCACAACATTCCAGACTTTCCATCCCAACCCCCTATAAGCAGCAATGGCATCTCAACTCCTCCCTCTAGGTATGCCCCACTCGCACCCGTCTTCCGGCTTACGAACTGACGACCGCCCCAGAACTTGTCGATAAATGCGTCGGCTCAAGAATCTGGGTGGTAATGAAGGGTGACAAGGGTGAATTTCTTCCGTCCTCTTCATCCGTCTCAACTCAACTATTATCAATCCTCGGCTAACCAACCTACCCGCCCCAGAATTCAGCGGAACATTGGTCGGCTTTGATGACTACGTCAGTACGTGTCCTACTGTCCATTCACCTACTTGATTTCGGACCGACTGATGAAAAACAGACATGGTCCTAGAAGACGTAACAGAATAGTGCGCGTCCCTCCCTGTCAAGCCTACGTCTAGAACGGATTGGAGTGTTAGTAAGATAGCTGATAGGCAAATGATCTATAGTGAGAGCACCGGAGAACAAGTCAAGCTTAAAAAGATACTCTTGAATGGAAACAATATCTGTATGGTATGTTAGGTCTTATTTCTGAAACCGTAGGGGAAGGGAAGAGAGCTAATTGTTGTATCAGTTGATTCCTGGAGGTGACGGTCCCGGGAATTCGGCTGCATGAGTTAGGGGAGGGCAATACAAGGAGGAAGAGACGGAAAAGTAGGTAATTTTCGCTATGATAGGATATATCGGGTATGATATCCATACGATACTTACGACGGTACGGTTAATACATAAAATACGTTTCACGTAGAGAAGGGTATTGAAAGTGATGTGTGATTGGGATAAGATTGTCACATTGGATATCAGGGGCTGCGGTATGCTGAAACCATGCGCAGCACCACAAACCCACTGGCAAGAATAATCTCCCATAGCCCTCGACATAGCATATCACTCGTTATGATCTTAGATGATGCTCCGGACAGCCCCAAAGCAGCATCTTGAAGCCGTAAACAGACTCTTGGAGCCAGGTTTGGCTCCGTAACCAGACGTTCCATATCCCCTGGGGAGACATGTTTTCACCAAGTAGAAGAACCTTGCAAATCCCACAAAAAGCAGCTTTTCACATACCAAGCCAACAAGACACTAACTCCAATACCAGGTAATCTTTTTCACAAAGCTAACATAATCGAAAAAAAAGAAAGCATATTTTTCACTAAGTTAGGCACCTCCGCAAAACTGATAAAACTTGAATACACTAAGCCTGAGCATATTATTCTTAAGCTAAATACCAAAACTCAAGACAAGATGTATTGTATTTTTATATAATATTATAAACCTATTGTTTTTTTTTTTACACCAAGACTAGGCATTTTTTTCGTCAAGATAGATAATATTATTATACTTTCACAAAATGAAAGAAAGGTCATATTGTATTTTTACACAAAGCTGCTATAATATTATAAAAAATATGCTTCACCAAGTCATGCATCTCTGGAAAACCCATAAACTAAGTGTAGGCATTTTTCTATATCAAGCTAGATACCCTCGCAAAATCCTACAAAGGTTGTTGCAGAATAGACACTCCTGGGCTATCCAGACAGATTCTGATTAGTGCATCTTGTCTGATAAAATGTTAGACAGGGAGAACCTGATTGACTTCAGAGTTGTCTAAGCCAACTATAATTCTTTTCTGTAGATAGAGATTGTCTAGAAAGGCTTAATATGGACTCATTTTGTTTATAACTACTAAGAGTGAAATAAAGTAGGTAAAGTAGAGTAGAATTGTAAGACAATATTATATTGTTAAGGTCACTTCTCAGTTGCCTAATGTTTAAAAGCTTAGGAGACACTTTGATATTTATACTCCACATCAAAGTGTTCGGGGACTGCATCTATCTATCATATTGTACATTGACAAAATTAACTGTGATTCAAGAATCGGTGCAACCTACTCCTCTTCATCACCCAGCACTCTCAATAGTACCTAAAGAAATTGCTCTAAGTCAACCAAGAAGAAACCATTCTGCTCAATACTTTTTTTCAATAAACTATACCTCCTATTCTTTGCAGTCTTGCTAAAAATCCTACTCCCTTTGTAACGTGTTCGCAAGGTGCTAATCACGTTATCGGTAAAGGTACGATAGTTGGCAGGTAGCCTGCTCTTCCAGAGAGGAGGCGAGAGCTGAGAACTAAAGGAGGCTTCGAGGGTGTACTGAGGAACAAAGAAGTAACCGTTCAACCAAGTATATTGAAATACTGTCTGTCGAAGTCTGCCGTTTCTATCGTAGAAACAGGCGGTCTTTAAATACACAAATCTGTTCATGTCTTAATATGAATGAAACTAATCAAAGGTATCAATCGATACACTTTGGTAAAACTCCTTAAGTATCAAAGCTATACTTAAAACAAAACATAAAACAAAACCAAGTATCAAACGATACTTAAAACTAACCAAGTATCAAAGCGATACTTAAAACAAAATATAAAACAAAACCAAGTATCAAACGATACTTAAAACTAACCGAGTATCAAAGCGATACTTAAAACAAAACATAAAACAAAACCAATAACCAAGTACCCATACCGGTTATATTCCCCAAAACAAAACAACTGTTTAAACAAACAAAACCTAATAATCATCAAAAGGGGAGTCTGAGAAACTAAAAGCGTCAGTTTCCGCTAAAAACTCTTCATCGTAAGTGTCACACCAGGGACAAGAGGAAACTCTAAGGAAATACTTAGACTCGAAGAAATCTAAATCACACTAGTCACGAATACCCGATTTGTGCTGTATATCAATCCAAGCATGATCGCAATCAGGAGAGTAGTCTATCCAGAGGATTTCGAAGTAGTCTTCAAGTTGGATAACATCGCGGTTCAACAACAGTCCAACAATCTGTTGTCGCTACCTCACATTGAGCTCCACATAGTTTGACATCGTTATGGTATTCAGATGGTGATTGGTGACTAGATAAAGTTGTCGAGAGCCTGCTCCATAGCTTGATTCTCATCATCACTACTCTCGAATTCCAACTCAAAGTATAGTGCCCAAAATCCATCTCTAGTTTCGAGTTCTGCATGCTATCGCTCAATTTCTGGTATCGTGGGTGTCCAACACATAGTGATGTAGTTGATTGTTGGGGGAAGAGATCCATTCGGCATATTATCTTTCCACCATTCATTCACCATATCCATAGCGTGCTCAAGTCCTTCCAGTGGTTCCCAACTGTTTTCGCTCGTCGGATATCCTTTCCATTTGACTAGGAACTGATCATTTCCATGCCAAAGGTGGTGGTCTCTGATTTCTTCAACTTCCCATTCATCCTTCTTATCGATGATGATAGGTACAGGCCGAGAGTGGGTCCTTCCAGGAAACTTGGAGTCATTATTTGGATGGAATCGCTTGACAGCTGAGGCGTGAAAGACTGCAGTATTGCGGCGGTACATGCGTCCATCCATCTGGACAGTGTAGTTCTCTGTATGCTCGTCAAAGGATATGACTTTGAAGGGTCCACACCATCGGGGTTGCAGTTTCTTGCTGCGTCCGACATTGGTAATGAACATGTTACCGTGTACTATGAGCATGTCTCCTGGTGAGATGGGGACATGTTTGCATCATCGTTTCTGGGTAGTAGTGGTGCTTCAGAATTGGGCAGCCTTCACAGCTTGGAAGGCATCGTTCCGAATTGCTCTGTGGCAGTTTAGATGGTCATCAGAGGCAGGGACTGAGGAGTTCTTAAATAGTGTTGTAGGTAGGAGGGGGTATTGACGGCCAAAGACTGCCTTGTATGGTGAAATCCCAAAGGTATCTGAAAATCCGGCGTTGATATATGCAGCGAGCTTAACAAGGGCTGGTTCCCAGTTGGTTTGTCGTTCATTGATCATATTCCTAATTCCGGTCTTAACTTCGCGAATCTTTCTTTCTGCTTGGCCATTTGTCTCAAGATGTCCAGGGGCAGCCATAATGTGGTTTATTCTGAGAGAGGTCAAGGTTTGCTTCCAGAATCTGGCAGTGAAGCGGGGATCAGCATTACTGACAATAGATAAGGGGTACCCATGGGGGGTAAACAGGTATCGTTGGAGGTTATTCCAGGTGTCTTTGGAGGAATCAGTAAGCTTCATTGGTATGAGCCATGTGTATCCAGAGAATCGGTCCACAGCTACCAAGATGGTGTCATATCCCGCAGATTTATTGAATGGTCCTGCAAAATCGATGGCATATGATTCGAATATTTCACATGGTAGTTGGAGGGTCTGTGCTTTTCCTTCAGGTAGTTGTGTTCGCTGCTTGTTTGCCTGGCAGAGTTCATATTGTTTGATGAAATCGCGGAAATCCTTGCGCATCTCAGGCCAGTAAACATATTCTGAAGCATATTGCAGGTTGCGGTCCGCACTGTGGCGTCCTTTGTTGTGAATCTCGGATATGACATATTCTCTAATAGTCATTCAATTGAACATATGGCCCTTTGGTATGTATAGGCAACGTTCACCATAACGGGTGCTGGTATAGAGCATTCCGTTTGATATGTTGTAGGGAGCAAGATCTCCATGCCTGGAGCTATCCCTGGCTTTGAAGTAAATCGGGTCATGGCGATATCCTGCTATCATTTGGCTTCGGAAAGAGGAGGTTAATTCTTCTGTGGTTGATCTAACATCTCGTTCATCCTCGATTAGGGATCCACTTGTTGGTTCGATAGGGGCTTCCTCTTCCTCAAAAGTTTCATAGAGTTGACGCCGATGCTCGGGAATAGTAGGGGGTATGACCGAGACAATGGTTTCATTGTTATATACTCGTAATGGTCCACCATATAGTGGTCGTGAATCGATAATGGGAGGAGAGGATGGCGGGGCTGACTGTGGGGGTTGTAAATAGGATATTGCATCCACGTAGGCTGCTGCTTGTTCGAGTTCTTCAAGACCTTGGTATCGTGTTGGAACAGGATTAACGGTATGAGGAGGTTGGGTCGATTCATCATCATTGATCATCTCTTCTGCTCCTTCTATGGTGTCGAAGCTGGTGTCTTTGGAATCGTCAGCAGGCATATAGTACGGTCGCTGGTATCTGTTGCCGAATTTGATCTCAGTCTGGTGAAAAGGGCAGGTGTCGTGATAACAGTGGAACCAGTGGAGTCTGCTTTGTTCAAGTTCATGAGGAGGTGTGCTGCGGAGCGTGCAATTGTCTTTCCATTCTTCATCAATGTCCTTTCCTCGATCTGTTCCGGCAGCACTATACATGGTGTAAGAGAAAGGATTGGAGGGAGCGGCAGAGCTGGCGGTAGCCATTGATGGTTCTTGTTCATAGGAGGTGTCGTCAGGGCTGTCCTCGCTTTGTCTTTTGTGGTCGTGAATGAGACGGGGGTCTGCGATGTCTTGATTCTCATATAGGCAGGAGTGAGCATCAGCCAAATAGTTCGTTCTTCCAGGGGTGTAGATAGTATTTGCATCGTATTTGCTGATTTTGCCTATCCATCTTGTTCTTCTTCTTCCAGGTATCCTTTCTGTTTTAAGATTAGTGAGAGGTTGGTGGTCGGTAACAATAGTGAAGGTATTGCCCATGAGGATTTGGTTGAAAGCGGCGAGAGCATCAATCACAGCAAGGGCTTCCTTGTCTGTTGTTCCATAGTTCATCTGTGAGTTAGTGAACTTCCTGCTGTGTAATGCCGCCGGTCTTGCCGTTTCATGGGAGGCCCCTTGCCCAACCCATGCTCCAACTCCAACATCCGATGCATCAGTAATCAGCCATATCGGTTCTGGTTTACTATAGTTGATAGGTTGAATAACGTTGGCATTTTTAATCAATTCCTTGATGT